TATAAAAGATGATGGTATGTCCAGTAAATATATACCAAACACGACATGCTTAAAAAAACTGCGCATGCCCCATGCAATGGCTACCTGTCACGTACCTGGTTGGGGAGCCTGACGTGGAGAGGAGGCGTCCTCTTACTACTCTCGCTCGGAGTCCCTGATAGTGGGTGCCGAGCCAGGAGTGGTGCGAGTGCCTGGTGGGTCTTGAGATGATGGTATGCAGGTGATGACCCAGAAGATCCGGATGCAGCCCAGGTGCGGATGCAGGAACGTGGGTGCAGCAGCAGGCAGGTATGGCGGCAACCAGGATACAGGCCAGGTGCAGGTGCAGGAACGTGGGACAGCAGCAAGTAGGTATGACGGCAACCAGGATGCAGACCAGGTGCGGATGCAGGAACGTGGGTGCAGCAGCAGGCAGGTATGGCGGCAACCAGGATACAGGCCAGGTGCGGATGCAGGAACGTGGGACAGCAGCAGGTAGGTATGGCGGCAATCAGGATGTAGACCAGGTGCGGATGCAGGAACGTGGGTGCAGCAGCAAGTAGGTATGGCGGCAACCAGAATGCAGACCAGGTGCAGATGCAGGAGTGTAGGTGCAGCAGCAAGTAGGTATGGCGGCAATTAGAATGCAGACCAGGTGCAGATGCAGGAGTGTAGGTGCGGCAGCAGGTAGGTATGGCAGTAACCAGGGTGCAGGCCAGGTGCGGGTGCAGGAAAGTAGGTGCAGCAGCAGGTAGGTATGGTGGCAACCAGGATACAGGCCAGGTGCGGATTCAGGAACGTAGGAAAGCACCAGGTAGGTATGACAGAAACCAGGATGCAGACCAGGTGCAGATGCAGGAACGTGAGTGCAGCAGCAAGTATGTATGGCGGCAACCAGGATGCAGACCAGGTGCGGATGCAGGAACATGGGTGCAGCAGCAAGTAGGTATGGCGGCAACCAGGATGCAGACCAGGTGCGGATACAGGAACGTGGGTGCAGCAGCAAGTAGGTATGGTGGCAACCAGAAATCAGACCAGGTGCAGATGCAGGAGTGTAGGTGCGGCAGCAGGTAGGTATGGCGGTAACCAGGGTGCAGGCCAGGTGTGGGTGCAGGAAAGTAGATGCAGCAGCAGGTAGATATGGCGGAAACCAGGATACAGGCCAGGTGCGGATACAGGAACATATGTGCAGCAGTGTCAAACAAGCCAGGTCAGGATCCATCGGGCAGATCAGGTACAAGGGAGCAGGCAAGCGGATAGTCAGGGATAAGCTGGGGGAAAAAAAAGCGACTGGATGAAGCAAGAGTTTCAGGTCTTGCAGCAGTGCTAGGACGGCCCCAACAGCATTTTCCAAGGCATCTACCTCTACCACAAAGGATAGTGCTAGACCTGGATGCCTTAATATGGGTGCAGAAGTAAAAAGTCCAGTGATGATAACTGAGAATCCTTTGATGGATCTCCTAAAAAGTTTGCGAAGCCTATGAAGCATTGTATTCCTTTTTTATCAGATGGTGCAGGCCATTCCAGGATGGCAGCAACCAGGATACAGGCCAGGTGCGGATGCAGGAACGTATGTGCAGCAGTATCAGACAGGCCGGGTCCGGATCAATTGGGCAGATCAGGTACAGGCGGAGTTCTTTCTTAGTCAGAGTCAGATCAGATACAGGCAACAGAATCAGGTTATCAAGTACAGGACGTTATAGGCCAGAAGGCATAGGCTAAACTGTGTTGGCGATTTAAATAGCCTGCCTTGCGGTGACGTGTACGCTAGTGCTCATGCGTGCAAGCACACACTCTCGCGCATGTGCTGCTGCTAACAGGGATCCGGCGCATAGATGCGTGACGGCGAGGGAGCGATCCCTGACACTACCATTTTAGATTTACACAGGAGGTCTAGTGCTAGAATTACTACCCTTGATGATGACGTTCGAGGCGATACCTCACATGCATGGTACAACTGTTGTTTACATACCGGCATGGGGTCAACGCTTGCACATGTGTGGGCAGGGCGAGGGTGTTTGTTTAAATTATTTTTACACTGTCCCTTTCAATTTTTTTTTTCTTTTATTTTCACTTTTATTGTTATCACAGGGAATGTAAATAACCCTTGTGAATGCAATAGGCAATGACAGGTATTCTTTTATGAGAAATCAGGGTTCTATTAGACTCTTGATATCTCCTTGTCCCTTACATCATGTGATCTACCCAAGATCGGTGTGATCATATGTTTTCCCAATTTAAAAATGGTGCTATTTATATCCTGTGACACTGAAGTGATGAAATGTTCATAGCTTCCGATATCTTAGACTGTAGATATGATTGGCGCCATTCCAGTCTCCAAACAGCTCTATGGTCAGCCAGCAGAAACACAGGCTGCATTCTCATGTTTCCCCGATGGCACAGACTGCCCGAGAAAGCCGTGGAAGGCAGCTAAGGGGGGGGGGGGCATCTTCTCAGCTTCTACCGCTTGGCTGCTTGTAAAAGCAGCTGCAGGCATCACCCTGGTATAACCATTCAGAATCCAGTGATGTACCAGTACATCGCTGGTCCTTTGTTGGGTATATATGCTATGTTCTTTTTTTTATGTAGCCTGTGGGCTGAATGAAAAAAAGAGAAGAAATCTCTGCCAAAAAAATGTGTGGTATGCCCACCATTAGAATATACCACCCTGCATCCACCCACTTCTAATGGTGGCCACACATGAAATATTATTTTTTTTGTTCAGCCCGTGAGCTTCCTCTATTCACATCGATGGATGTGGATGAAGAAATCTCTGCCAAAAAAAATTAAAAATATATGCCAAAGTATAGAGGCCATCCACCCACTGGCCACCCCAGGCCCCCATGCTTGGGCATTTTTAACTGTGGATGAAAAATCTCATCCAACAGCACTGCACACACTTATGTATATTCTGAGACCAAGACCCTGTTGCTGTCAGAATAAACAGATTGGTGCTGCAGCTGAATGGCAATCCTGCAAAGAAAACCGCAATGGTCAACAATAAAACTAACTCAATAAAACAACTTTTTAATTGAAATCTGTGCCAAAAAAATATAATAAAATATAAATGCCAAAGCATAGGGGCCATCCATTCACTGGCCACCCCAGGCCCGCATGCTTGGGCATATATCTTTTTTTTTAACTGTGGATGAAAAATCTCATCGAACAGCGCTGCACACACTGAGAGCAAGACCCTGTTGCTATCAAAATAAACAGATCAGTGCTGCAGCTGAATGGCATTCCTGTAAATAAAATAGAAATGGATAACAATAAAACAGTAGCAATATAACAGTAACCCAATAGAACAACTTTTTTATTGAAATATGTACCAAACAATATTATATATATGCTGAAGCATAGGGGCCATCCACCCTCTGGCCACCCCAGGCCCCCATGCTTAGGCATATATGCTCTTTTTAAACTGCGTATGAAAAATCTCATCCAACAGAGCAGCACATACTTATGTATATTCTGAGAGCAAGACCCTGTTGCTGTCAGAATAAACAGATCGTTGCTGCAGCTGAATGGCATTCCTGCAAAGAAAATGGCAATGGTTAGCAATAAAACAGTAACAATATAACAGTGACTCAATAGAACAACATTTTTATTGAAATATGTGCCAACAAATATTATAAAATATATATGTTGAAGCACAGGGGCCATCCACCCATTGGCCACCCCAGGCCCCCATGCTTGGGCATATATGCTCTTTTTTTTAACTGTGGATGAAAAATCTCATCCAACAGCGCTGCACACACTTATGTATATTCTGAGAGCAAGACCCTGTTGCTGTCAGAATAAACAGAACGGTGCTGCAGCTGAATGACATTCCTGCAAAGAAAACAGCAGTGGTTAACAGTAAAACAATAACAATATAATTGTAACTCAATAATAAAACAACTGTTTTTGTTATTGGATAGCAGGTGAGACATCAGGGGTCTTTTAGACTTACCCTCTCTGTGAAATGGTATGGCACAAAGCCGCCCTAAACATCCTCTTTTGGGGTCACTCGCCAGTGATCTTTGCTCTTCCTCCACCAGAATTTCAGGCTCCGCCGCTATCAGCAAACCCAGGACCAGGACCAGCATGGCGTGTGCCATCGGGTATATGGGAGGGAGATCAGCAAACGTCTGTTTGGTTATCTGCCTTTCCTGTTAAACAGTTGGAAAGTTTTTATTAAAATAACAAACATGTTATACTTACCTTCCCTATGGTTTTGTACAGAGTAGCCCCGAACTTTCTCTACTGGGGTCCCGCTGTCATCAAAATATAATTTCCAGGTTCTGGTGTCCCTGGCTGGGGAAGAAACTAATAGAGCGATATCTGATATTTACATTTATACATTTACACTTCATACAGTTATGCTTTTACATTTTATACATTTATACCTTTACATCTTTACATTTATGTATTTTTTTAAAAAGTTTTCAAAACATCAAGAGCTACAACTAATTCAAAACTACTACAACCATCTTGTATAAAGAGAAAAGATATGTTATACTATACATTTACACATACACATTTCATACATATTAATTATAATGCAGTGTACAACTCCTCTGGGGAGAACTGCTACTCTAGGTCACAAGCCTTTTGTGTGAAAATTGGCTCTGTTTAGGGATGCACAGATATATCGGCAGCCGAAAACAGTGTTCTCGGCAATCTGCCAAAAGGAAAAATGGTGCAGATACAAGCAAAGACATGTCACATAGACTTTCATGAAGAAACACCCCTTAGTGACTTCAGTGCAAAATTTGCCAGGCAGATTTATTACGGTTTAAAAAAAAAAGCAGGGCTAAAGAATGAAAATAAAAGAACCCGCCCCGTGTGTGTGTGTGATGTGAAAAATTATAAGAAAATCAAATATGTGGGTCGCCTACACCATACACATACACGTGTGTCACTAGAATCAAAAAACAAATAAACCGTGTCGCACTCCACTACTATAGAGTTAAATTAACCACCTTCCGCCTGCCCTCTAGTACAATGATGGGCGCAAGGTGGTTCTCTCGTTCTGATAGGACGTCAGTGAAGGAGAAAAATCACTTATTTACAAAATTGTATAACAAAAACTAAGAAAAAACTTTTTTTTTTTTCAAAATTTTCAGTGGTTTTTGGTTTGTTTAAGAAAAAATAAAAATCCCAGAGGTGATTAAATACCACCAAAAGAAAGCTCTATCTGTCTCAAAAAAATGCTAAAAATGTCATATGGGTACAGTGTTGCATGACCGCGCAATTGTCATTCAAAATGTGACAGCGCTGAAAGCTGGAAATTGGCCTGGGCAGGAAGGGGTTATAAGTGCCCTGTAGGCAAGTGGTTAAACGATATACTTTAACCACTTGAGCTCCTGAGGATTTACCCCCCTTAATGACCAGGCCTTTTTTTGCTGTTTGGCGCTGCACTAATTCAAATGATAATTGCGCGGTCATGCAATGCTGTACCCAAACAAAATTTATGTCCTTTTTTTCACACAAATAGAGCTTTCTTTTGGTGGTATTTTATCACCTGTGCACTTTTTTATTTTTTGCGCTATAAACAAAAAAAACACAAAAATTTTGAAAAAAAAACAATATTTTCTACTTTCAGCTATAAAAAATATATCGTAAACTCAAAGTTAGTCATAAATTTAAGCCAAAATGTATTCTGCTGCATGTTTTTGGTAAAAAAAATCCAATAATAAGTGTATATTGATTGCTTTGTGTGAAAGTTATAGCGTCTACAAACTATGGTATAGATACTGTAATTTATGCCTTTTTTTGCTATACAGCGCTGCACTAATTCAAATGATAATTGCGCGGTCATGCAATGCTTTACCCAAACGAAATTTACGTCCTTTTTTCACACAAATAGAGCTTTCTTTTGGTGGTATTTTATCACCTGTGCGCTTTTTATTTTTTGCGCTATAAACAAAAAAAACACGAAAATTTTGAAAAAAAACAATATTTTCTACTTTTAGCTATTAAAAATATATCGTAAACTCAAAGTTAGTCATAATTTTAAGTCAAAATGTATTCTGCTACATGTTTTTGGTAAAAAAAATCCCAATAAGCGTATATTGATTGCTTTGTGTGAAAGTTATAGCGTCTACAAACTATGGTATAGATCAGGGGTGGGCAAACTTTTTGACTTGAGGGCCGCAATGGGTTCATATATTGGACCCGGGGGCCGGACCAAGAGTAGATGAATGATGTGTATGTGTCATCCATAGTAAGCATAGTAATATTCCCCCATAGTAAGCATAGTAATTTATCCCCCATATAGTAATTCATCCCCCATAGTAATTCATCCCCCATAGTAATTCATCCCCCATATAGTAATTCCTCTCCCATAGTAATTCATCCCCCATATAGTAATTCATCCCCCATATAGTAATTCATCCCCCATAGTAATTCATCCCCCATATAGTAATTCATCCCCCATAGTAATTCATCCCCCATATAGTAATTCATCCCCCATATAGTAATTCATCCCCCCTATAGTAATTCATCCCCCCTATAGTAATTAATTCCCCATATTATTTCATCCCCCATAGTACTATTCCCCCCCAAGTAGTAAGCCAAGTCCCCCCTGTGTCAATTCACTTACCTTTGCTCCGCGCGTTCCTCACGCCGTGTTCCCGCGCCGTTCCGGTCTTCAGGGCGGACTGTGAGAGGAGCCTAGCTCCCCTCACGTTCGTCACGCTGCCCCGCCTACACACATCCTGACAGCCAATGTATCCCGCGCCGTTCCGGTCTTCAGGGCGGACTGTGAGAGGAGCCTAGCTCCCCTCACGTTCGTCACGCTGCCCCGCCTACACACATCCTGACAGCCAATGTATCCCGCGCCGTTCCGGTCTTCAGGGCGGACTGTGAGAGGAGCCTAGCTCCCCTCACGTTCGTCACGCTGCCCCGCCTACACACATCCTGACAGCCAATGTATCCCGCGCCGTTCCGGTCTTCAGGGCGGACTGTGAGAGGAGCCTAGCTCCCCTCACGTTCGTCACGCACGCTGCCCCGCCTACACACATCCAGACAGCCAATGTATCCCGCGCCGTTCCGGTCTTCAGAAAATTTTGAAAAAAAACAATATTTTCTACTTTCAGCTATTAAAAATATATCGTAAACTCAAAGTTAGTCATAAATTTAAGCCAAAATGTATTCTGCTACATGTTTTTGGTAAAAAAAATCCCAAAAAGTGTATATTGATTGCTTTGTGTGAAAGTTATAGCGTCTACAAACTATGGTATAGATAATTTGAAATTTACACAGCTTTTACTTTCTGACTGCCCATCACATCTCGAGGTGCTAAAATACCAGGATAAAACAAACACCCCCAAATGAACCCTTTTCGGAAAGTAGACACCCTAAGCTATCTGCTGAGAGACATATTGGGGTTTATTTACTAAAGCTGGAGAGTCCAAAATCAGACTCCCTTCTGCATAGAAACCAATCAGCTTCCAGGTTTCATTGCCAAAGCTTCATTGAACAAGCTGAGGTTAGAAGCTGATTGGTTTCTATGCAGAAGGGAGTCTGATTTTGGACTCTCCAGCTTTAGTAAATAAACCACATGGTGTCCATGGAAGATTTATTTTTTTTCCACAAGTTTCTGGAAAATGACAAAAACTTTTTCTTTTTTTTTTTTTTACACAAAGTTGTCATTTAAATGATTTATTTCTTGCACAAGCCATGGGTATGTGTGGAATTACACCCCAAAATACATTCTGCTACTTCTACCGAGTATGAGGATACCACACATGTGACACTTTTTGGGAGCCTAGCCACATACAGGAGCCTGAAATCCAATGACCACTTTGAAAACCTGAAGGTGCGTAACTTCTTCATTTCACTTCCCCACTACCTATCACAGTTTCGGAGGCCCTGAAATGCCAGGATAGCACCAAACCCCCCCAAATGACCCCTTTTTGGAAAGAAGACACTCCAAGGAATTTAAAAAGAGGCATGGTAAGTATTTTGCAGATCTCATTTTTTCTCACAAGGTTTTGAAATATAAAAAAGAAAAATACTTACCATGCTTCTTATCAAATTCCTTTGGGTGTCTACTTTCCAAAAATTGGTCATTTGGGGGGTTTGGTGCTATTCTGGCATTCCAGGGCCTCCGAAACTGTGATAGGTAGTCAGGAAGTGTAATGAGGAAATAAAGCCCTTTAAAAGCCTGAAGGTGCTTATTGGATTTTGGGGTCCTGTACTTGGCTAGACTGCCAAAATGTCTCTCACCTGTGGTACCCCATACTTGGGAGAAGTAGCAGAATGTATTTTGGGGAGTAATTCCACATATACATATGGCTTGTGTGAGCAATAAATTATTTAAATGACAATTTTGTGTAATTTTTTTTTTTTTTTTGTCATTTTCCAAAAACTTGTGGTAAAAAAATAAATTCTTCTATTGATTCAACATGCTTCTCAGCAAATAGTTTGGGGTGTCTACTTTCCAAAAAGGAGTAATTTTGAGGGGTGGGGGCATTTTATGCCCAGCATTAGAAGTTTATGCCACACATCACTCACTCTTCTAACCACCTGAAGACCAAGCCTTTTCTGACACTTTTTGTTAACATTAAAAAAATCAGTATTTTTGCTAGGAAATTAAAGTGAACCCCCAAACATTATATATTTTTTTAGAGCAGACACCCTAGTAAGTAAAATGGTGGGTGGTGCAATTTTATATCTCACATATTACTTACACAGCGATTTGTCAAACGCAATGTTTTTGAAAAATATACACTTGAATTTTAATGCACAAAAACACAATATATTGGCCAATTATTTGGTATGATATAAAAGATGATGCTATGCTGAGTAAATAGATATTAAACATGACATGCTTTAAAATTACGCATGCCCTGTGCAATGGCGACAAACTGCATACATTTTTAATATCTATAGGCAACGCTTTAAAAGCCTTTACAAGCTACCATTTTAGATTTACAGAGGAGGTCTAGAGCTATAATTACTGCCCTTGATCTGACGTTCGTGGCGATACCTCACATGCATGGTGCAATCGCTGTTTCCATACTGGCACAGGGTCAACGCTCACGACTGCAGGTGTGCGCGGATGGGCGAGGGTCCTTTTTTTTTTTTTTCTTTTCTGATTTATTTAATTATTTTTACACTGTCCCTTTAATTTTTTTTTTTTTTTTTTAATCACTTTTAATGCTATCTCAGGGAGGGGGAGGGGGGGCATTTTTTCCCGCTGCTTGTAAAGGCAATCCTGCAGCTAATTAACCACGAGGAATGCTTTTACATGAAAGCCCATTGCCGGCTGAAAAAAATAATGCCAGCTGCAGGCATCACCCTGGTATAACCATTCAAAGTCCAGTGATGTACCAGTACATTGCTGGTCCTTGTTCGGTGTTTATGCTATGTTCTTTTTTTCTTTATGCAGCCTGTGGGCTGAATGAAAAAAAAGAGAAGAAATCTCTGCCAGAAAAAGTGTGTGGTATGCCCACCATTAGAAACCTCCCTGCATCCACCCACTTCTAATGGTGGGCACACATGAAATGTGCCAACAAATATAAAATATATATGCCGAAGCATAGGGGCCATCCACCCACTGGCCACCCCAGGCCCTCATGCTTTGGCATATATTCTCTTTTTTTTTTTAACTGCGGATGAAAAATCTCATCCGACAGCACTGCACACACCTACTTATGTCTATTCTGAAAGCAAGACCCTGTTGCTGTCAGAATAAACAGGTCAGTACTGCAGTTTGACATTCCTGCAAAGAAATCAACAATGGTTAACAATAAAACATAAACTCAATAAAACAACTTTATAATTGAAATATTTCTGCAAGGAAAAGTGTGTGGTGGTATGCCCACCATTAGAAACCTCCCTGCATCCACCCACTTCTAATGGTGGGCACACATGAAATGTGCCAACAAATATAAAATATATATGCCGAAGCATAGGGGCCATCCACCCACTGGCCACCCCAGGCCCCCATGCTTTGGCATATATTGTCTTTTTTTTAACTGCGGATGAAAAATCTCATCCGACAGCACTGCACACACCTACTTATGTCTATTCTGAAAGCAAGACCCTGTTGCTGTCAGAATAAACAGGTCAGTGCTGCAGTTTGACATTCCTGCAAAGAAATCAACAATGGTTAACAATAAAACATAAACTCAATAAAACAACTTTATAATTGAAATATCTCTGC